GTTCCGCAATAATGGGTCCATGACGTCCATGACCCTGTATTGATTCTCTATTAAACACCAATAAGAATGTATTGAAAACAATAGGAATGTATGGAGTCTCCATTAAAACTGAAGAACAAAGTACTGACTCTCTATACAAGAGGTCCGATTTTCAACCCCCCCCCCCCCCCCGACAAAATTCCTTTAAATGTGGTGGGATTTGCCCATGCCTAAACCCCCCCTAATGGAAAGTAGTCTTCCGGCGGGCTTCTGGACGAACACCATTTCTTTAAAGATGAGGGTATTAATGAAACAGGTGCTCGGATTATGCTGCCCCCCAAAAAAGCAAAAAGAAAAAACAAAGAAAGACTACCGTTTTCTGATTTTCTAGACTTGCGCGACATCAAAACGATTCAAAAATGAGACCGACTCCTTAAATCCTGTTCCCGAAGTCTTATTCCCTTAGCCTTATTCACAAAATTCTCTTGCATACACCACTGATTCCGCAGAAAAGAAGCCTATTCCCAAAATCTTGTTCGCTAACCCCTCAAGCGCGGGATCCCTACATTGTATTCCCTAAATCATATTCCCTTAATCCCTAAATCGGACCGGGGGGGGGGGGGGGGTCACTCAACCCTAAAGAGGGGATCCATAAATCCCTACAATGAGACCCCCTTAAATCATTACAGTAAAAAGAACCTGGCTCACTAAAGCTTCTCGCGAAATCCTAAAGAGCGGGATCCCTAAATCATATTCCCATGATTTTCCTCCCTAAGTCTTGTCCCCTAAGCCCCAAAGAACGGAATCTTTAAATTCTGAAGAGGAGAGCCCCTGAATCCCAAAAGAGAACCCTATTTTTCCTAATCCGAGCATCTGCTTAATTAATGCCTCCACATTTAACAAAATATGTTTTGTCGAAAATGCCGCTGTAGGACTGCTTTCCAGTACGGGGATTTTCGCATGGGGAAATTCCACCACATTTAAAGAATATTCTGCGGGGGGGTTCAAAAATCTGTCTGCAGGCTTCTTTATTGCTTGCTGAGCTGCAGTTTGGATCGGTGAAACTACAATACATTCCTATTGTTTTGATAGTGAACCCATACATTGCCACGGTCTTCTTATTGCGGCGGGGGGACCAAGTAAACAGATGCTCGCATTGAATCTTATCGGGATCCCTAAACCCTAAACCCTAAACCCTCAACCCTCAACCTTAAACCCTAAACCTATTCTCCAAGGCCCGAAGGTGGGCCTAAATCCTAAAGAGGAGAGCCCCTAAATCCTAAAAAACATTCCTTGCATGTTGCTCCCTAGGTCCTATTGCTGAGGCCTAGAGAGGGTGTCCTAAAGAAGGGGATCCTTACTGTAGATCTTAAAAAACAAGCCTTTCCTTCTACATAGTAAAGCAACGAACCTTACTCAGTAAATCATATCGCTAAAGTTAAAAAAGAAGGATCCCTTAATCTCATTCCCTTAATTCTACTCCCTAAATCCTATTGCCTAGCCCTGAGCCCTAAAGAGAGTCTGGGGTCCCAAATCCTTAAGATGAGAGCACCAGGATCCTAAAGAAAAAACACTATTCCCTAAATAAAGCCTTTTCAACAAGACCTAAAGGGCGGGCTCCCTGAATCTTGTTCTCTAGATAATGTATTCCTTTGATCTTACGAATCGGCCCTCACACGGAAGATTGAACAGCGAAGAGTCTCAGAAAGAGTTCCTGAGAATGAATCTTCAATCTTCAATCTTCAATCTTCAATCTTCAATCTTCAATCTTCAATCTTCAATCTTCAATCTTCAATCTTCAATCTTCAATCTTCAAGGCTGGGGCCGATCCAGAATTGAATCGGCCGATGCAGTTTTGAATCGGCCCTCACACTGAAGATTGAAGGTCCAAGATTCTCAGAAAGAGTTCCTGGGAATCTTCAATCTTCAATCTTCAGCTGGAGGGCCGATTCAAAATTGAATCGGCCGATTCAATTTGAATCAGATCCATCTGTGAAACGTGCCACGTATCACGATAAAGGAAAATGTACAAAATGGTAGTTTTTTTTTTTATTTTTTTTTGGGGGGGTACCATGTGTGTATATATATACATATGTATACATATGTATACATATGTATGTGTATGGGTGTATATGTATACATATATATATATATATATATATGTGTCCTCCTTAATTACACCCCAAACATCTTAGTGTTTAGGGTATAGTGTTTAGGGTTTAGGGTCTAGGGTTTATGGCTCAATCCCCTAAACCCTACACTCTAAACCCTGAACTCTAAAGCCTAAACCCTAAACCCTAAGCCCTAAGCCTCAAACCCTTAAAGCCCTGCTTGCGCGCCAGCACCCAGAGATCCACGTGCCGCCTAGCGGATATTTTCCTGGCGACTGGGCATCAAGAGTAGGGTTTAGGGTTTAGGGTTTAGGGTTTAGGGTTTAGGGTTTAGGGTGTAGAGTTTACAACCCCAAACAAGCCTCAGACCCCATAAGTCCCGAGCCCTCTCGGGATGCTTTTGCAGAATCGGGGGCGTCTAAGCCTAGGACCGCGAGTAGGCCCTTATTTCCTTTTTTCCTAAACCCTAGACCCTAGACCCTAAACCCTAAATTAGGGTCTACAGGGTTTCGGGGTACCGGGTTTTTCCTGCACCCCGTCCGAGGCGTGGTGAACAGCTTCGGGGGACATGTTCCGACGGTTGCAAACGCGAGCAAGCAGGCTTTTGGGGTTTGGGGTTTAGGGTTTAGGGTTTCGGGTCTAGGGTTTCGGGTCTAGGGTTTAGGGTTTAGGGTTTCGGGTCTAGGGTTTAGGGTTTCGGGTTTAGGGTTTAGGGTTTTGGGTTCAGGGTTCAGGGTTTCGGCTTTAGGGTTTAGGGCTCTCATAGATGCCAGATTGGGCAACCTAGGCAGGCCTTTTGGGCCATGATGTGACATGAAGGGTATAGGTGGGTGTAAGTGTTGGCTTCAGATGAATATAGTTCCTCTTATTGGGCTTAAGCATACTCAGGAAGTTTTCTGTTCAGAGGCGTTTCTAGTTATAGGGTTCTTAAGAGAGGGGGGGTTCATGGGGGTAGGTACCTAGGGAACCTTAGGGAAGCTTGGGGAGCCTCAAGGAGTAGCAGGGAGCATTAGGGAACCTTGGGTTACACAGCCCCCTTGAACCCCCCTCCCTGAAGAACCCTATCATCTAAGGACCAACCTAGGCGAAAGGCTGTTTAAGGTTTGGGGTTTAGGGTTTAGGGTTTAGGGAATGGTTTAAGAATTGGGACTCATAGGGCTCTGACGTAGGCGTTGTTTTGGCCTTGCAACGTTCAGGAGAAATAGAGCCTAAATCCTGAAGCCCATACGCCCTGAATCCCTAAACAACCTAACACCTAAACCCTAAACCCTGAACCCTAAACCCTAAACCTACACCCCAAACCCTAAACCCTAAACATTGCAGGCGGAGGCAGCCTGTGCGCGGGCACAGGACACGCTGAACTCCCTGCACTTGAGGACTTCGCAAGCGGCCCGCCAGTTCAGGGTGGAAGCTCCGGGTGTAATCGGTTTAGGGTTTAGGGTTTAGGGTTTAGGGTTTAGGGCTTAGGGTTTAGGGTTTAGGGTTTAGGGTTTGGAATACAGGGGTCGGAAGAATGACGGATACTATTCCCTTATGGTCTCGTCATGATTATACTAGACATAACCCCCTCCCCCCCCCCCCCCCCCCCAACACCCTACTCTAATTATGAAGGCCCCTACATTAGGCTTTGGGTTCAGGGTTTTGGGTGTTTGGGGTTTAGAGTTCAGGTTTTTGAGCTAAACCCTAAACCCTAAACCCTAAACCCTAAACCCTAAACCCTAAACCCTAATAAAGCTTTCGCTTTGCATCTTGATCATCTTCAGGGGCGTGTTCCCTTTTTCAGGGTTTAGGTGCCATCTTTAAGCCCCCTGAAGCCGAAAAGGGTGCCCTTTTCATTCCTAGGTTACCCTTGGGTCTATTTTAAGGTTTTTAGGGGTTTCCTGGGTGGTTTGAAGGGTTTTGTAGGATTGAGGACGTTCTTACTCTGAAGCCTCAATCCTCGTCTCTTTGTGCAGGGATGAGATCAAGCCGTGTCTGGAGCCCAGCACGACAGGAGACCTCACTTGAGAAAGAACCACTCCTACGTAGAGGCCGCGGGTGTTCGGCAAAAGCAGCCGCGAGAGGGTTTAGGGTCTATCAAATTTTTGGGGGGGTTTGGGACTTAAAAGTTCTAGGGCTCAGGTCTTAAATGTTTACAGGGCTTAGGGTGCTTTTCTTTTTGAGTCTCTCCGCACCGCGTAGCGGCCTCCGTGGTCGATCCCTCGAATCAGAAGTCCATGCATCTAGTGTGTGCCATTTCCGTTACACAAGCCACCCCTTCTTGTGTCTACTTGGAGGTTCATGGGTACTTATAACCCCAATCATAAGTCCACTTATCACCTACTTCGGGGACTTAGGGGGCTTATAAGGGTTTAGGGTTTAGGGTTTAGGGTTTAGGGTTACAATTCCCTTGAACCTCCGAGAAGGGAAGTAGGATAGCGGTTTTGCCATGCTAGGGGTTCACCCCAATATAGATCCCCCAGTAGTAGCATACCCTTTAAGAAAGGACCCCAACCAGGTACCCCTAATCAAGGAACCCTAAGCACAACCCTAAACCCTAAACCCTAAACCCTAAACCCTAAACCCTAAACCCTAAACCCTAAACCCTAAACCAAGTACAACCCTAAACCCTAAACACTAAACCCTATACCCCAAACCTAAACCCATCAGGCCGTCAAGAAGCTTCGAGAGCGCGGTATGCTGCCGCAGGCCAGGCGTAGCAAGCTGGAGTGAGTGGCAGGCCACGCAGCACGTCTCGAGTCAGGGTTTAGGGTTTAGGGTTTAGGGTTTAGGGCTTAGGGTTTAGGGTTTAGGGCTTAGGGTTTAGGGTTTAGGGTTAGGGTGCCGCACAAGATTGTGAACGAGCACAGAGTCCCAGTGGAATTGTTACGGTCTGGCACTTACAATGACCAACAATTGGCCTGTTCCCCTTATTCTTGGGTTCCCCTACTACCCCCTCTATACTGCCCTCCAGAGGTTCCCCCCATAATTCAGGCTATTTTGGAAATTAAGGTTATTTCAGGGAACATGGGGGGAACCTGGGTGGGGGGGGGGGGGGTAGTATAGAGGGGGGTAGTAGGGAAACCCATGATTCTAACAGTCCTCAATAGGGATTAGATTAGGTTTCTTGAGTTCAGCGTAGATGCTCCCGACCAATCCGTAACACAGCTCAAGCCCAAACGCCGAACCCTGATTGTCTGGATAGCCCAGTGGTGCCGTTTTCCCTTTGTTTTGGCCTCTTATACAGAAACCGACGCCAAAAAGGGCACCCAATGTGGTTTCTGGGCTAAGTTGTTCTATTAAAGTAAACCCTAAACCCTAAACCCTAAACCCTAGACCCTAAACCCTAAACCCTAACCCCCTAAACCCTAAACCCTAAACCCTAAACCCTAAACCCTAAAAACCCTAAACCCTAAACCCTAAACCCTAAACCCTAAACCCTAAACACCCTAAACCCTAAACCCTAAACCCTAAACCCTAAACCCTAAACCCTAAACCCTAAACCCTAAACCCTAAACCCTAAACCCTAAACCCAAGCCTCAGGATGACTTTAGCACCCCAGTAAGGTACTCCTCGTAGGTCCTTATTAAGAATTACGTGGGGGTTAGAAACCCTAAACCCTAAACCCTAAACCCTAAACCCTAAACCCTAAACCCTAAACCCTAAACCCTAAACCTTCAACAACCCAAACTCCAAGGGCTTTGGGTTTCGGGACATACCTGACATCCTACACCGGCGGTACCCTTCTGGTTTCAGGTGTATTCCTTATAGGGTTTAGGGTTGAGGGTTTAGGGTTTAGGGTCAGGGTATAGGGTTTAGGACCTTATAGAAGCCGTAAGGTCCACATTTTGACATAGGCTGAGGAGCTTGCACGACGCCTTCGAGAAGAGGGACCTTTGCCCGAGGCCGGTCAACGCGTGAAATAGGATCCTATCCTATCCTGTCTTGAAGGGGTTTTAGGGTTTAGGGTGTTAGGGTTTAAGGTGTTAGGGTTCAGGGTTCAGGGTTTCGGGTTCGGGGGTTGTGGTTCGTGGACCAATTTCCGTTGTGTACGGTTCAGGGTTGAGGGTTGCCATACTGCCCGCAGGACCTCTAGGCGTGCAAGGTGTAAGAAGCTGGAGTCTGAATCTCACTCCCATGCGATTTCGGCTTTGGGAGGTAGGACGTAGGGAGCTTAGGGTTGGTTTAGGGTTTAGGGTTTAGGGTTTAGGGTTTAGGGTTTAGGGCTTGGGGCTTAGGGCTTAGGGCTTTAGGGTTTAGGGTTTAGGGTTAGTTTCGTTGTCATGTCGGTCGGCTAGTTGTGCAGTTTTGGGCTGCTGGCATCTGGCATGCTGTTTGAAATGTTTTGAGCATGCTGTCGTGGTCTAGGAGTCTAGGTATCTTTAAACGGCTTGCGAGGGCAAGCCCTTCACCTTAAACCTTGCACCCTAAATCCTAAACCCTAGCCCCTATACATCTTTCTACAGCCACGGTGTAGCTGTGAGAAGGACGCCCAGTAGTACCCGCGTTCTTTTGGCTGGCATCCCAAAATCTGGTAAACCCTTGGTGTTCCTAGCGTAGGCGTTAGGGTTTAGGGTTTAGGAATTGGGGTTGAGGGTCTAGGGTTAAGGGCTTGTTTAGGGTTTTACCCTACACCCTAAACCCTAAACCCTGCAACCCACAGCCCCAAACCCTAAACCCTAAACCCTAAACCCTAAACCCTAAACCCTAAACCCTAAACCCTAAACCCTAAACCCTAAACCCTAAACCCTAAACCCTAAACCCTAAACCCTAAACCCTAAACCCTAAACCCTAAACCCTAAACCCAAGCGCCTTTGAGACCAGGCTTGGGTGGAGCGCGAAGCCGGTCAGGTGGTAAATCAGCTTTGCTGCTTTGCTTCACTGGGTTGGGGTTCGGGGGCTTTACGGGCTGGATTCAGGCGCTTCGCCTGAGACTTGAATCGGGGGAGGAAGAGAGGCACAAGGTCTTCCTGGGTTTAGGCACTATCCCTAAACCCTAAACCCTAAACCCTAAACCCTGAACCCTGAACCCTGAACCCTGAACCCTGAACCCTGAACCCTGAACCCTGAACCCTGAACCCTGAACCCTGAACCCTACCCCTGAACCCTAAACCTTAACCCAAAAGCATCCCTTTTCCTCTGAGAGAGTGACACACTGAGCCCGCGTTCCCACACCTGGAATCAGATGAGTTGCCGAAGCCGAAAACTACAACAACCTAAGCCCTAAACCCTAAACCCTAAACCCCCCTGGCAAAAAAAAAAAGAACTTATATCCCCAAACCTTAGAATCTCCACCCCGAAGCCCAGACGACCCATGACCACGATGCTTTTCGGGCTCAAGATACCCTAAACCCTAAGCCGTAATCCTAATCCCTAGACCTTAACCCGAAACCCCGTACACTAACCCTGAAAGCCTTGCGATCGCCCGACC